GTTCACACAATGTTCACACTTAAAGCAAGAAGTTGGACTTAACTTTCAGCTATTAACTACCAGCTGCATGGTTCACACAATGTTCACACTTAAAGCAAGAAGTTGGACTTAACTTTCAGCTATTAACTACCAGCTGCATGGTTCACACAATGTTCACACTTAAAGCAAAAAGTTGGACTTAACTTTCAGCTATTAACTACCAGCTGCATGGTTCACACAATGTTCACACTTAAAGCAAGAAGTTGGACTTAACTTTCAGCTATTAACTACCTGCTGCATTATTCACACAGTTTTCACACTTTAAGCAAGAACTTAGACTCCACATTTACAACTGAATGGAGTCTTAGATTTGATAGGTTGTTAGATTTAATGTCATTTCACATGCAAGACTTGCCAATAATGTTTAATCGACGGTGTATCCTACTGTTAGGGTCTTCTTTTACGGATATCTCTCCTACAAGTATTCATTATATCATTATTCTGGTCTCATTTGTCCGTCCAACATCGTGTTGCTACTTTATTTTGACTTAGTTATTTGAAATTAAAAAAAAATGTTCAAAGATAATAATAACTGTATTAATATCACTGCTTTAAGGTTTAAAACAATAATATTGTTGTGTTTTACACACTAACAATGCTTACCTTTAGAAAAAACCCGTTGTTTGTCCTTCACAAAGTCGTAACGTGTGTAAACTTTGTAACCATGGTCCCCTCGGGGAGGAACTGTTGTTTGTCCTTTATTTTCAATGATTATACCCGTTTACATATGTTTCAAGATCATTCATGTGAGTGGTAATAAATAAACCCATATTTACAAGATCATTCATGTGAGTGGTAATAGATAAACCCATATTTACAAGATCATTCATGTGAGTGGTAATAAATAAACCCATATTTACAATGATTATACCCGTTTACATATGTTTCAAGATCATTCATGTGAGTGGTAATAAATAAACCCATATTTACAAGATCATTCATGTGAGTGGTAATAAATAAACCCATATTTACAAGATCATTCATGTGAGTGGTAATAAATAAACCCATATTTACAAGATCATTCATGTGAATGGTAATAAATAAACCCATATGTTTCAAGATCATTCATGTGAGTGGTAATAAGTA